TTCCATACTCAATTTACTTGCAATTAGGATTGGGGGACTTGAAGCCAACATCGGTAGTCATCCAACTAGCCGATAGATCGATTAAAAAACCAAGGAGAATTGTTAAGGACATCTTAATTAAGGTTGATAAATTTTATTTCCAAGTTAATTTTGTGGTACTAGATACTGAGCCAGTCCCTACTCTTACCAATCACATTCCAGTCATCCTAGGAAGACCATTTCATGCTACCATTAATTATAGATCTGGCATTATGTACATCTCCTTTGGCAACATGATGGTTAAGCTTGATATTTTCAATGCGAGTCAACATCCCACAGATGAAGACAAGGGTTTCCTAGTGGATATTTTGGATGAAACCATAGAGGAGACTCTTCCCTCTATTCTATCTAGGGACCCTCTTGAGGCGTGCCTTTGCGAAATGTTTGAAAGTTGTAGTTTTGACACAGAAGGATTCATAAGTGAGGTGAATGCTTTGATGGACTCTGTGGCCACTTTGGATTTTCCACCTTGGAAAAGCAAGAAAGAAGCTCTTCTTTCACTCTCTAGTACTCCACTAGTTCCTTCTCTCATCTCTCCTCCTACTCTTGAGCTTAAGCCACTTCCATCTGATCGGTTGGTCAATTAACATCAACCTTCGCAATAGCACGAATCATTGTAAAATAGGGCTATTGGTCGGGTAAGTCGAACCACTGGGACTGCGCTAGTCTATGACAACCTAAGAGTCTAGATTACTTTTAGAATGATGAGGGGGTATATAGAGTTTTGTTGGTTTATCACTTAGTCACTAGAATTGAAATGTGCTTAAAGAAATAAATGCAAGGAATTTAAGAGAAAGAAGTCTAGAAAAGGAGGTCTAGGGAAGTGAATTCACCACCAATCCTATAAACATACTAAATTTCTATTAACTTGGGAAACAATTTCACTACATGGCAATGATATGTAGCAATACTAGATTGCTACATTATCCTCAAGAAAATCATAGGATCAAGATTTAAGTATAATCCCTTAAAGAGCCACATGCTAGAACTACCTAGATTAGGGTGTAGCCATAACATGCTCACTAAGCTAGGGACTATCAAACCCCTCAATCACTATGGTAATAGCACATGAAGTCAAGATACAAGATTAATCCATCAAAAGGAAGTCTTAAGCTATGGATTAACAAATTTCTCATACAACATGCCTTTAAACCCATTTCACAATTTCATTTCCATCCTCACTATGAAGATGCAAGTTATATAATCATGAGAGGATAAAATCTAAGACAAGATAATGAACTCAACATGATCATTTATAGGCATTGAAATCCATTACAACAAGTGTAAGTGCTCTAAATCATGAAACTACTATGTACATGAATCATTCCCCAAATTAGATGAAATTAAAGCATGCTTACAAGAGAGAACTTTATCACCTCCCTAGATGGAGGTTTAATTATCCATGGATACAAAAATAGAAGAAGGAAGCTTGGAAGAATAAGCCATTTTTGAGCTCCCTTCCTTTTGCTTCAAGAACACACCCTCCTTGCTCCCTTCTCTCTCCTCTATCTTGCTAGAATGAAGCTTTAATCAATTGTGTGGCCTCCCTTCTCTTCTTTTTTATAGATATGCCCTCTCTCTCTCCCCCAAAAGACATCCTCAACCACTTCATCAATAGGGAAATCCAAAGTTGGTAAATGTAGAGTGCAAGTGGCTGAAATGGGCTATTCCCAAACAACAATCTGCCCAAAATTCGAGCACTCGAAGCAAGGCCTCGAGCACTCGAATTTAGTGCAAAAAGCTCCATGCTTCACTTGCTCCGCCCAGACCTACTTTGGTTAAACAGCCATAACTTTGTGCTCCAAACTCTGAATGATGAACCGTTTAAAGATTTGGAAAGCTAATTCAGAGATTTAAATACTTCATGTTTTGGTGGAGATCCAATTCTCAAGGATGGTTGGTCGAAAATGAAGATCAAGGCAGAATTTCATTGCTGTCAGGCAGTTCTGCACACCTCTGGTAACAAGGCCATAACTCTCTGCTCCGAGCTCCTAATGACAAACCGTTTGAATATTTAGAAAGCTAATTCAGAGCTCTAAATATGCCATTTTATACTGCAAGTCCAGATCTTGAGGTTTCTGGGTCAAAAGTGGCAATCAAAATCAAGTTCCACTGCTGCCTGAAATTCAGCTTTTGAGCACATTGTTGATCAAAAATCCACAACGGCTTATTTTTGCTCCCTTTTTGCAATTAAACCTGAAAATGCATAAAAACACACAAATGAAGATAATCTACAGAATTAAACAAACAACGGACTTAACTAATGCAATTTAGGGTGCTTGAATATACAGTATTCGGCGCTTATCACACCCCCAAACTTACATTTTGCTAGTCCTTTAGCAAAACTACAATGAAAAACTTAATGAAAAGACAACCATGGGCATGCTACTACAAAAATATCATCCATGGTAAAATGAGATATATACATAGCTCAAAAATAACTTGAAACAGAAAAAGAGCTGGAGATGGGGTCATTGGGAAGACTACCTTGCATATATGAAGCATTGATACTAAACACATTTCAACATGCATGTATCAACATCATATTCCATATAAATAACTCAATTGTCATCTCTTAAATGGAAATCAACTCTAACTTCAGTGAAAGTGGATTGGATTCTCAACATGCGGCTTTTACTTTCTTTTCCAATTTCCAAGCACAAGTTTTCAAATCATTGAATTCCCCTTTAAATGAGGTCCCTAAGGCATGATTTTATTTACAAGATAACTTTTGTAGCTTGTTGACAATTTATTGTAACTCATAAGCGAAACATAGAATGGTTGTGCAATGCTGAAGTCCCTTAAGCTTTTTAACCAACTTATGTAGCAAGCGTTAGGCCAACAACTCCCAAACCAGATGGCTTTAGGGTGTTAAGTGTAGAGACACTCCTAGGGCTTAATAGCTCAAGTTGGAAAGGTTACGAACTCCAACGAACCATGCTTATTACAATTTTTTTGAATGACCGTATAATGTTTAAGTCCTTTAAGCTTTCTAACCAACTCTTGTAGCAAGCGTTAGGCCAACAACTCTCAAACCAGACGGCTTTAGGGTGCTAAGTGTAGAGACACTCCTAGGGCTTAATAGCTCGAGTTGGAAAGGTTACGAACGTCAACTGGTCATTTTTTTTTCTTTCTTTCTCAGTTTTTTTTTTTTTTAGACAACTTAAATCATGCCAAAGATATTCATCTATCAGGTTCATCAAATCAAATTAACTAGGCCAAGGTCAAGGTCAATCAAGTTGCATGCCTCACAGTTAAGTTTCCAATGTGCATCTGTGCATTGTGAAGCTTAAAAGAGTGTCAAATCCAGCGAGAATCTAATTGAGACATTTATATAGACTGATTTGAATCCACATGATCATTTCAACTCAAATTTTTCTTTATTTTCAAAAATGTCAATTGCTTCTATACACAAGGTATTAAACATATGCTTCATCTCCAACTAGTGTCAAGTTATACTATCATTGCTTAGCAAAAATGCAAAACCAAAAATGCATAAATGCACCCCCAAACTTGAATAACACAGTGTCCTCAATGTGTGAAGACAAACATACCAAAATAAGAGCAAAGGGGGGAAAAGAACAATAATACCAAGTGGAGTGACGATGACGTAGATGTGCAGCCATGTGAGTGCGCAACGGCGTCCCCCAAACTTGGACATGAAGACCTATCAAAACATAACTACTGTACACAGGTAAAAACATAGGCTCGTAAGAAAAACCAAAACAGAAATAAAAACACTAACCTGAATTTTAGTGCAAGATAAAAATCCAAACAAAACACAAATGCAGACATTAGCCACAAGTTTAAAATAGATAACAAAATAGGGCCAAAAATGGGGAATTTAGAGAGATGAAGTTGGCTCAGGAATTTTGTCGAACAGGTGGTGTGCAAGACAAAAATTAGAGGCAAAGACAATGCATGGTGCATGAAAACCCAAAAATTTGTAGACAAAAATGCTCTCTAGCCTAGAGCAACATCAACAATCATAAATAACCCTCCAAAATTGTCAATCCCACACTCATCAAAATGAGCACAACAAATTTATTTATTTATTTATTATTTTTTATTATTATTATTATTATTATTATTTTTTTTTTTTTTTTTTTTGTTTTTGGTTTTTTTTTTTTTTTGAATGGCATGCATGAGGGTTTAAAGAGAGAGAGGAGGTTGGTGGTTTGCCGAGATAGAGAGATGAGGGTTGGATGTGTGTTGGGGTTGGATGGTTGTGACTTGGAGGTGGTAAAGTGGTGGTTTGGATGAGGAAGTTTGGTGAGGTTGGTTGGATGGTTGGGTTATGGAGAGAGAGAGGGTTGGTGAGGGAGGATGCCGAGAGTAGGGGGTTGTAAGGTTAATGGCATTTGAATGTTGTGGGAGATGCCTAGAGATGGGGTGTCTTGGTGGTGATGGGTGGGGTTTAGGTTGGTTGTGGGGGGTGTTGTAGTTTGGTTAGGGTGGTGAGGTGATGAGGGCCGAGGGAAGGGTTGGGTTGAGTTGAGGTTGCCGAGAGGTGGGGAATGGGAAGTGGATTTATGTGAGGAGGTGGTGGGGAGTTTGCCGAGAGGAAGAGGTTGGTTGGTTTTTGGTGGGGTTGGGTTGATGCATGGGAAGCCGAGAGATGATGGTGTTGTGAGTGAAGTAGAGGTTGCAGCGAGTGCTCGAAGCTTCACTTCGAGCACTCGAAGTGAAGGTAGTGGTTGTTGTTGGTTGGGTTGGTTTGTAGAGGGGTTGTAAGATGGATGAAGGGCTTGTAAGTGCTGAGAGAGAGAGGGTTGTGAGTGGGGTTGCATGGATGGGTTGGTTTGTAGATTCCGAGAGGGTGGGTTTGGGAGGTGGATGCAGGTGGCTCATGCATGGTGGTGTTGTGATGGCAGCGGCGAGCCCTCGAAATGGGAGTGTGGGGGTTTAAAAGAGGGATTAGGTGGTTTCGAGTGCTCGAAGCTTCACTTCGAGCACTCGAAATGGTGGCAGTGAGTGAGGGATGGATGGTGGGGATGATGGATAGTGAGGTTGGTTGGTGGTTGATGGGGGTGATGGTGAGTTGGTGTGGTGGTGCATTGGTGTTGGAGAGTGGTGAGGATAGAGGGATGGTGGGTGTTTGGGGTTTGCTTGGGTGAGGGGTTGCCGAGTGATGAGATTTGCATGGTGTGGCTGCGAGGTGAGGTTGTGTGTTGCAATAGGTGTGGTCGTAGAGGATGGTTTAAGGTGGTTCATGCATGGTAGGGTTGAAGTTGAAGAGAGAGAAGCCGAGATTGGGAAGGTTGGTGGGGTGTCTGCAGAGATGCCGAGATTGGGAAGGTTGTTGCTTTGGGTTGTGGTGAGCATGAGTTAGAAGGTGGTAGCTCGGCTTGAAGAGGTGGTGGTGGTTTGGTCGTGAGAAGGTGTGAGTTGTTTGGTTTGAAGTGGGTTGCGTGGGTTTGTATGGTCATTGGGTTGGAGGTTGGTTGGTTGCATGGAGTTGGTTGCTGTGAGTGAAAGGAAAAAAGTTAGCTTGGGATGTGCAGCAGGTGGGGTTGAGAGAGAGAGAAGAGCATGGTTAGTTGAGAGGGATGCAGGTTATGCATGAAAGTGGCCGAGAGTGTGTGATGGGTTTAGGATGGATGCCGAGATGTGTGTGTTGGGTGGTGTGGAGAGAGAGAGATGGTTGGTTTTGAGAAGTGGCAGGCATGGTTGTGGAGTGGTTGATGGTTTGAGTTGGGCTCGAGCACTCCAAATGGGAGCTGGAGTGCTCAAGCGTGGGGCAGAGAGATTGGCTAAGAGGTGTGTTAGATGTCGAGCACTCGAAATTTGGTCTTCGAGTGCTCGAAATTAGGACAGTAGGCTCGGGTTGTTGGGCTGAAATTTGGAGCAATCCAAATGGAATTTAGAGCGCTCTAAAATTGGGCAGTGGTGCATGCAAGATTGGTTCACAATTGGAGCACTCTAAAATGGAGCTAGATTGCTCGAAATGAAGGCAGTGACTTCGGCAAGTTGGTGTGGTAATTTGGAGCAATCCAAATGGAAGCTAGAGTGCTCCAAAAATGGGCAATGAGCTTGGGATTGATGGTGAAGACATTTGGAGCAATCCAAATGGAATTTAGAGTGCTCCAAAATGGGTAGTAGCTCATGGAATTTTGGTTAGATCATTCGAGCACTAGAATCTTGGCCCAGTGAGCATTTTGAATGGATGCAATTGCTGAAACAAATGTGTCAAACTTTGCAACATCTTGCTAATGCATGAATATAATTGGAAAAATTTTCAAAATGTAACACATTTCCAATGTATGGATGAATTTTGAACTTTGCAAATTCATTCCATTCCAATGCATGGGTGGAAAATTTTTAAACTTGGCATGCCATTCCCATGCATGGAAAGATTTTTAAAGCTTTGCATGGCAGTTGGAAAAATATTTGAAAACTTTGCATGCCATTCCATGCATCGAAAATTTTTCATGTCATTCCCATGCATTGAAAAATCATTGCAAGCAGCAGCTTCAATTCAAGCCATGCATGGAAAATTTTAAAACTTTGCACATTATTCCAATCTAATGCATGGATGGATTTTTGAAGCTTTGCATGCATGGAAAGAAATTGAAATTTTGCACGGGACAATGCATGGGGAATTTTGAAAAAATTTCAAACATTGCAAATGCATGGAAAAATTTTAAACAGTGCAAGAGTTTCAATGCATGGATGATTTTGCGAAAATTTTCAAGAATGTATTACAAATGAGACATTATGCACATGAGTAGCATTCCCAAGATCCGGTGAAATTGCTAGGAAGCGATGGAAATTTCCGGGAATGAAAATTAGAGTTGAGAAGGTCTAAGAAAAATCAAATATTTGGCTTTTCTAAACCGTTTCCCAGAAAATTTTGCAAGGCACGAGCAATTTCAAAGAGAAGGAAGCTTGGAAATTGAAAGAATTGTTTCCCTTGAGTTGCTAAATTTAATGTTGATAGTTAGACGAAGTTAGAGCAGGCACTAATCCTCAAAAATCTCGATAGCTAGACACACCGAGATCAAGTTAGTCCTCCTTACCCTATACCATGTCTCTCTAGAGATTCAAGCTTCCCTAAGTAAGAAAGTTCTTTTGGAAGCGGAAGGAAAAGAGCTTGAAGACAAAAGTTGGAAAGAGGTAATGGAAAGACCTCAATCCACTCTTCATCCTCAATGAAGAACTTTGGACTATGGGGCTGATTTGGATTATAGGAATATAGAGTAGGTGAGAGTGCACCTAGTAAAGGCTTTTGAAGGGTCATATTGAGCACGGGAATGCTCGACAACTTATCCTTTAAAATTTCAACATCCTCCTCACACTTATCCGGCGATTCGGGCTCAACAACTTGAGACAACTCAAGTGAGGGAATGGGATGAGATGCAAGCTCCCAAGAGAGTGATACATTTGATGTTGCCTAAGGAAGAGAGTGAATAGGTAGAGGAATATCAAGCAAAGAATTCACCTCCCAAATGGAATTGACAACATCAAAATCCGCATAATTAAAATGACCTAAGCATGTTTTTAGAGGATCCTCCATTAAAAGAGGTGCATCAAGCAAGGGATTATGTAGGGGCTGTGCTGGATTTTTATAGGATACAATCTCATCATCATTATTTTCCTTATTTTGAACCACAATTACTTCATTTTGATGCGTGGCAACAACTTGATCTTCAACCACCATTTTATCATTTTCATATGTGATGACCACTTGATCATTCTCATGATGAAAGTTACTAGGAGTAATCTCATCATTCATAGAATTTTCTTTTGGATTGGCCACGAGTTCAATGGAAAATTCTTCTTCATTTTCATGATTTAGAGCATCAACCATTTGTTGAATTTGAGCTATTTGGTCATCTAACTCTACTCTAGATTGGGAATGAGAATGAGTAGTGGATTGCATGCCAACAATGTCATCCAACATTTGCTTATTGGACTCCATCATTTGCGTGTGGAAAGACTCCATCATTTGTTCATTGGCAGCAATAAATTTATCCAATAAAGATGGTGGACAAGGAGAAGAGGGCGGGAAAGAATGATCATTGGGTTGAAAAGGTTGCATATGAGATTGTAGGGTTGAATTTCCTATGTCATGCCACAAGAAGTTTTGTTGGTCTCCCCAACCCGAGTTATAACCATTGAAGTATGGATCACTACCCGGTTCAAAGAAATTTTCATTTGGTTGCTCTAGATAGAAGTCCGAGAATTGTCTCGTTGGAAGACATTCTCTTGTATGATGTGTATGACTAGAGCAATATGCACAAAACTCATGTGGTGTGTAGAATTGAGTTGGAAGATAACTACCCTCCATCTAGGACTTAAACATCAACAACACACAACATAATCAACACAACAATTCTTTATCATCAACTCCACATACAATGATCCCTTTCTCCTCAATTATCAACAAGATAGGAAATAAATGGCCACGACAAAGACCGATGCTTTGCAATATAGTAAAAAAAAAAAAAGCCTCGACAAGGGCTTCACAAGCTAAATTAAACACATACACAATATTCACAATGCGAAACTAGAAGTCACGAGACTTACCTTGGGGCCTCTAGACTTACAATTTGCTAGCATTCCCATGGCGAGTTTCGAGTCCCTAGAATCTCACAAAAACGAAGATGATCAAAAATACACAAGGAGTATTCACAAGACACAATATTCACAATCAAACTAAAATTAACCCTAGAACTTTGGTCGCTAAATCGTTTGCAGTCCCCGGCAACGACGCCAAAAATTGATCGGTAGGTCAATTAACATCAACCTTCGCAATAGCACGAATCATTGTAAAATAGGGCTATTGGTTGGGTAAGTCGAACCACTGGGACTGCGCTAGTCTATGACAACCTAAGAGTCTAGATTACTTTTAGAATGATGAGGGGGTATATAGAGTTTTGTTGGTTTGTCACTTAGTCACTAGAATTGAAATGTGCTTAAAGAAATAAATGCAAGGAATTTAAAAGGAAGAAGTCTAGAAAAGGAGGTCTAGGGAAGTGAATTCACCACCAATCCTATAAACATACTAAATTTCTATTAACTTGGGAAACAATTTCACTACATGGCAATGATATGTAGTAATACTAAATTGCTACATTATCCTCAAGAAAATCATAGGATCAAGATTTAAGTATAATCCCTCAAAGAGCCACATGCTAGAACTACCTAGATTAGGGTGTAGCCATAACATGCTCACTAAGCTAGGGACCATCAAACCCCTCAATCACTATGGTAATAGCACATGAAGTCAAGATACAAGATTAATCCATCAAAAGGAAGTCTTAAGCTATGGATTAACAAATTTCTCATACAACATGCCTTTAAACCCATTTCACAATTTCATTTCCATCCTCACTATGAAGATGCAAGTTATATAATCATGAGAGGATAAAATCTAAGACAAGATAATGAACTCAACATGATCATTTATAGGCATTGAAATCCATTATAACAAGTGTAAGTGCTCTAAATCATGAAACTACCATGTACATGAATCATTCCCCAAATTAGATGAAATTAAAGCATGCTTACAAGAGAGAGCTTTATCACCTCCCTAGATGGAGGTTTAGTTATCCATGGATACAAAAATAGAAGAAGGAAGCTTGGAAGAATAAGCCATTTTTGAGCTCCCTTCCTTTTGCTTCAAGAACACACCCTCCTTGCTCTCTTCTCTCTCCTCTATCTTTCTAGAATGAAGCTTTAATCAATTGTGTGGCCTCCCTTCTCTTCTCTTTTATAGATATGCCCTCTCTCTCTCCCCCAAAAGACATCCTCAACCACCTCATCAATAGGGAAATCCAAAGTTGGTAAATGTAGAGTGCAAGTGGCTGAAATGGGCTATTCCCAAACAACAATCTGCCCAAAATTCGAGCACTCGAAGCAACGCCTCGAGCACTCGAATTTAGTGCAAAAAGCTCCATGCTTCACTTGCTCCGCCCAGACCTACTTTGGTTAAATAGTCATAACTTTGTGCTCTAAACTCCGAATGATGAACCGTTTAAATATTTAGAAAGCTAATTCAGAGATTTAAATACTTTATGTTTTGGTGAAGATCCAATTCTCAAGGATGGTTGGTCGAAAATGAAGATCAAGGCAGAATTTCATTGCCGCCAGGTAGTTCTGTGTACCTCTGGTAACAAGGCCATAACTCTCTGCTCTGAGCTCCGAATGACAAACCGTTTGAAGATTTAGAAAGCTAATTCAGAGCTATAAATATGCCATTTTATACTGAAAGTCCAGATCTTGGGCTTTCTGGGTCAAAAGTGGCAATCAAAATCGAGTTCCACTGCTGCCTGAAATTCAGCTTTTGAGCACAT